TAGAGAAAATTTAAAAGAACATCACATGGATACTTTTCAAATATTCTAAAATATACTATAGAACATCACATGTATACTAGATGAATATCACTAAATACACCATAGAACATCACTAAATATATTATAGAACATCGCATATATATTGCATGAACATCACTAAATACATCATATAACATCACATGTATACTAAGTAAACATCACAAAAGACATCATAGAACATTACTTACATAATACGAGAACATCACATGTATATTACACGAACATCGTAAAATACATCATACAATATTGCATGTATACTACATGATATAAAAAACATCACATAACATCACATGTATAACACGTTAACATTAAAAAAACATCACATTAATACTACATGAACATCAGAAAAAACAACATAGAACATCATAAAAAATAATAAGAAAAGAAAAGAAAGGTAAAAATATAAAAAATAAAATAATAATAAACACATAAAATAGAAAACACAAAAGAAAAAAATGAATGATACATCATAGAACATTATAAAATACATCACGCATATATACTATGTGAACATCCAATAAAATCACATGCATAATACGTGAACATCACATAATATCATACTATACTACGTGAACATCATAAAAATACATCATAGAACATCACATGTATACCACGTGAACATCAAAAAAATATCATAGAACATCACATGTGTGACATGTGAACATCACCAAAAAAAATTATAAAACATCACATATATGCTACATGAACATCACAAAAAAACATCACAGAACATGACATTATATAACACGTGAACACTAAAAAAACATCATAGAACATTGCATCTATTCTTTACGAACCTAACATCTCATGAAACATAGAAAATAAAAAAATAAACATGAAAAATAATTAAGGTAAAATAGAAAAATAGAAAAGGAAAAAAGAAAAGAAAAATCAAATGGAACAAAAAAATAAGCAAAAATAAAAAATAAAAAATAAATTGAAGAAAGTAAATTAAAAAATAGGAAAGAAAAAAAATAAAAGAAACATAAAAAATGGAAATGAAAAGAATAATAAAAAATCACATAAAACAAAAAAGAAATATAAATAAAAATAAAGCACGAAAATAAAAAAGTAAAAAGGGAAAAGAAAAGAAAACGAACAGAAAAGAAAAGAAAAGAAAAAGGAAAGGAAAAAAGAAGAAGAAAACATTCACATGGACGCTGCTCTCCTAGTTGGAAATCCCGCGCCAGCGGATGGGCAGCGCTCGCTCATGAACGTGGGCCGCGCGTGGGCCTCGCCTATAGCGCACCTTGCATGCGCATCGCGCGGTTCGCGCGGGAGCCATTCGGCGTGCGGCTTCCGTCCGGCAGACCGGAAGAATTGCGGGCGCTTGGCGGGGGGCGGGTCAGGTCACATCGCCGCCTACGCACTGCCACGCCTCCTGGGGACTAAGCCCGTGCCCGCGGCGGAGGTGCCGGACGCCATTGCGGCTGTGCTGCGGTCGGACCCGTACGAACAACTGCAATGGCGCACAAGATCATGGACATGGCCGTGGCGGACGGGGCCTTGCGCCTCGAGCTTCAGGCCGCGCGGCTATGACGGAGGTTGGTGGACAGTGATCGCCTCGACGACGAGTTCGCTGACATGGCCGCGAAGCTCGAGCTGGCTCTCCACGGCGCTGACACACGATTCCTCACCGAACTAGATGACAATGTGAGACTGTGAGAGTACCTCGCCTCATCACCTGGCTGCTTGCGTGCTGCTCTAAATTTTGTTGGTTTTGGCGGTGTCTTGCTTGACTGATAACCAATTGATTTCCCTGCGAGATTTCGCTGCGATTCTGGTGTTGGCGAACAAAATATCGGTCAAGGAGCACGACTAGCAAAAGCGTTTGTTGTATAATTACTCAAATCATGTTTCCGCAGGTTGACACGGCGCGTGCGGATCACCGATCGGTGTCTGTGGGTGCCACGCTAACAACCGTGTAACAATTCCTTCTCCCTCTAATGAAATACGGGCCATGCAAAGACGTATAAGAAGCTGGCCGAGGACCTCGCCAAAGTGATTGCTTTTTGTGATCTAATCGAGATCAGTGTACCTCATTGTAAACTCACATTAGTTGTTCCGTTTTTTTTTTCCGCGAACGTGCACTGCCGCACGTATTTCATTAAGAAAAAGTACTCCCTCCGGTTCTCTAAATCAAGTCGTTTTAAGGTTATCTTAAGTCAAACATTTTAAACTTTGACTACAAATAACTTCTTTTGGGTTGAGTTTGAAAATATGAAAGTGATGTAAGTAGATTCATCTCGAAATATAGTTTCATAAAAATATATATTGACTATATTTTATAAATATTTTATAGCAAAAAGTAGCGGTCAAAGTCGTTTCTTAAAGACCGTGTCGATGTCCAAAACGACTTGCTTTAGAGAACCGGAGGGAGTACAGAACATCCAAACAAACAACTCAAGACTCGACAGTAGGTAACTAAGGGTTGCCCAGACGAGCAACGCGAACGAAAAAAAGCACCGAAAACGAAAACCCAAAGGAAGCCAGCGACAACCGCGCGAGAGACTAATTACATGAACAAATTGAGCGAAGACAAGCTAGTAAACCCTGCCCGCAGCCAAACAGCGGCCTCCTGCAAGATCTGCAAGCACAGCTCGCGATCGGCTGTGGCTTAATTCCTGAACGTCCGTGCGTTGCGTTCCTTCCGAAGCATCCAGCAGATTAGCATGACAAGTGAGTCAAAGCCCTTCCTGCTGCCGCGCAGCACCCTGCGCCTAGCCCGGGTCCACCAAAGAAAGAGGTCGACGTCTCCATGAGCGACCACGGTCGTCAGTCCAAGCCTAGACAGGATCAGGTCCTAAACTTGGCGAGTGAGGACAAATCCGAGCAGGATATGATCCAATGTCTCCGAGGCTTGGAGACACATAATGCAAGTGTCATTGGCCTGCAGCCCATGTCGCATCTGCCACTCCGCGGTCCAGCAACGACGGCGTAGAGCCAACCAGAAGAAGAACCTGACCTTGGCTGGTGCACGCGTCTCCCAAATCAATTTGGCACCGAATGGCGAGATCGATCCGATGAACATCGCGCCATAAGCCGAGGCCGCGGAGTACCTGTGGTCAGCGGACCATCGCCAGATGACAGAGTCCGGTACCCCCGGCATGAGCTGGACGTCGCAAAGGCGTTCCCAAAGGTCCAATTAGTTGTTCCGTTTTATTTGTTTGAATTGAATATGCATTTGGAAACCTTCAAGCAGCATATGATGCAGTCATCCTGCTGCAATCCCTGAATTTCACTGTCACATCGAATATTTAGATACTAATTTATAGTATTAAATATAGATTAATTATAAAACTAATTGCACAGTTTGAGACTAATTTGCGAGACAAATCTATTAAGCCCAATTAGTTTATGATTTAATAATATGGTGCTATAGTAAACATGTGCTAATGATGGATTAATTAGGCTTAATAAATTCGTCTCGCTAATTAGTCACACGACTTTTGTAATTAGTTTTATAATTAGCTTACGTTTAGTACTGCTAGTTAGCATCCTAATGTTGTCCGATGTGACATGGTTGATCTTTGGATAGCGCTACGGGTAAAGGGTTCAATACACATTCGTCATCTTCTCCAACAATAGGACCCAAAAGAGAATCCTTTCTGCAAATATATTTTCAGGAGAGAGGATACTCATATTTAGGTTGTGTCTCTCAGACAACCTAAAATAGGTCTCCCATATAATTAGTCTGTTGAAGACTGATTTTGGGTCTCTGTTATTCATTTTAGGTCTACGTGCCTATATAGGTCTTTGTTGGAGACGGACTTAGCCCCGGGATCCGAACATGCAAAAAATCGTTGCTGACCTTAACTGATGCATGAAACGATAAGAACCTGTGAGTAATAGGTGCCAAAAGCAACTTGGTGGAACGGTAATGCCCCTTGCACAATGTCTCGTTACTCTCATCTACTTGTGGTTGCATCTTGTTACCACTATGTGTCACATGAGATGATACCGCCTCTGCATCAGTTCTGAAGGTGAACTCAAGATATTCGAAAAGAGCATGCACACACCACATAAAAGCAAAGCAACTAATCAATGAGATTTAGTTTGTCTTATCAGCCAAGCAAACAGTATTTTTCTCTGACAACAAATCAGCAAACAGTACTTTTCAAGGTATATTAACTATTTGTGTTATTGACTAAAATTTGAACTTAAAAGTCAAATATCACATGTGTCCGCAAGACTTATTTGTGTAAGTATAAAAACTGATGCAAAATATATTCAGATTTCCCATTACCTGAAAGCCTTAGGCCCTGTTCGGCAGGCTGAAAAAATGACTGATGCTAATTTGTTGTGTTATTTTGCTAAAACGGTACGACTGATACTGATAAGTTCAAGCGAACAGAGCCTTAGTTCAGTATTGCAGAGAGTAACAATATTATAAGAATGTTCTGTCAGAACTCACATGTCTTTGTCAAGTTGGTGCCTGATAATAATATTCAAAGCGTAAAATACATAGTGCTATTATGTAAATTCATTAAGCAGGATGTACAATTATATTCACATAAATAAATGATTTTTTTCTTATTTTTAATATAATTTTGATGTACACGGATTTATTTCTTCCTGTTGCAACGTGCGGGCACGTTTGCCTGTACGCTACTAAACACTGACGATCTGTTTAGCGTGAAAGGCGTGGACTGGAATATAGATAGACGCTGTAAGGAAATCACCAAGACACCAACAGGCAGAGAATCAAATCTCTCGTTTCTCATGTGGGAGTACAACCGAACTGTCGCCCCACCGTCCTCGTCCTCCGTCCTGGAACCGGTCATCTCGATCGCGCTTTTTAAGACTGCGTCTCCGCTCCATCCACGGACACCCGCTTGACCGCTCTCCCGCGCGCCTCCCGTTCCCTCGTGCTCTGCTCCCCAGCGTCGCAGGCTGCTTCCGTGCCGTGTAGCACAGCGTGCCGCACTGCCGCGCCCGATGGAGGCAGGGGCAGGCAGGCGATGGAGTCGCATGCTGCGGCCGCCGTTGGGCGCCGGAGCGCGATCCTCGGCGGCAGGGAGAAGGGGGCGCGGGCTGGGAGCCTGCGGGTCGGAGGACCTGCCGGTGCCGGAGCGAAGGCCATGGCCATGCGGACTCGAGGGACCAAGCCCGTCGCCCCGCTCTGGTGCGTTAATTCAGCTGACGAGAGCATGCACAGTTCACCTGACGAGGCCCTGCTATTAAAGGTAAATAAGAGTACATCAGATTCAAATTTCTTATATGAATGAAACCAAACATGGCACCATGTATTTCTGGCCATCTTTGTGATATGTATTTTCCATTTTTTTCCTAATGTAACTGCAGAGGAAATCTGAAGAAGTTCTATTCCACTTGAATGGGCAGTGCATTTACCTAGTTGGTAAGCTCTGAACTTCCGAGACCTCTCTGTTTGACCGAAATTACATACTGGCTTGTCTTCACCTCAGTAACTAACAAGGGCGTGTTCATACTGAAGGAATGATGGGCTCTGGAAAAAGCACGGTGGGGAAAATCTTAGCTGAAGTTCTGGGTTATTCATTCTTTGATAGTGATAAGTTGGTAGAACAAGCAGTCGACATGCCTTCTGTTGCTCAAATATTCAAGGAGCATAGTGAAGCGTTTTTCAGAGTTAATGAGGTAACATTTCTTGATTATTTTGAATATTGTTTGCTGAATTTTCCTTCCTATATGTTGGCAAGATTTGTATAATTTCTGATGTTCGAAATTGTGATGTCCCAACATAAAGGCTTATGCAATGACAGTTTATTGCTTCTCTGCTGTTGCAGAGTTGTGTCTTGAGGGATTTGTCCTCAATGAGGCGACTAGTTGTTGCAACTGGAGGTGGTGCTGTTATTAGGCCAATTAACTGGTATTGAAAAAAAAAAAATCTGGTTTCATGTCTTGTAATTTAGACCTTGTTGTGTCTTCCCAAACAAATAATATTTTTGATTGTTTCTTATAAATTCAGGAATTACATGAAGAAAGGTCTATCTGTTTGGTTGGATGTACCTTTGGATGCCCTTGCGAAGCGCATTGCTCAAGTAGGGACTGCTTCTCGTCCTCTTTTAGACCAGCCATGCGATGATCCATACACAGCGGTAGCTACTTTCATCCTTCAAGATGTGTTGCTTGAGTATCCATAATACTTCAAATCGCTGAACTATTTTTGTTTTAGGCTTTCTCAAAACTAAGTATGCTTGCGGAGCAAAGAGGTGATGCTTATGCAAATGCCGACACAAGGGTCTCTCTTGAAGGTATGTTTCCCTAGGACAAACATCTCTAGAATATTTCCTATATTCATTCAGCCTGTTCGGTTGGCTGGTTCGTATCGTTGCTGGTTCGTTTATGTAAGAGAGAAGTACTGCTGGCTGGTTCGCATGAACAGTGTTTATGTGAAACGGCTGGCCAGCCAGCCCAGCCAGCCGCTCCCAGCCGATCAGGCTGATTATTACATATGGCCCTCATTCTTTCGCAACACACAAGTTTCTCCCCTTCATGCATAAAACATTGCCTAACAGTACATGACACTGCATTTATTTGTTCAGAGATTGCAGCTAAGCAGGGCCATGGTGATGTTTCTATGCTAACACCGACCAATATCGCTATTGAGGCTCTGTACTCATTCTTCATTCATGTGCAGTTGTTCAATTGGCGTACCGTATATTGGCCACAGATTTTGTTCCCCCTTAACGTCAAATCATGCTAATTTTCAGGCGCTACTCAAGATTGGGAGCTTCGTCACTGAAGATCCCACAGCCAATGACCATGCTGGCAACTTACAAGCTGATTCTCAGAGTCGCAGTATAAAGGCCTTGTAGAATTTTGACCCCTTTGTACCGTGTATCAGTAGAGTGCAGCTCTTACAATATTTATTTGTTCTTTTTACTGGAATCCAAGAAAAGGATGGTTTTGTCGTAGGAAATTTGTAGAAATCCAATGGTAAACGGTTCATTCGGTAGAAAAGTCTAAAAAATAATTTTCAAAGTGCAGGGGGTATGACCCTGGATACCCATGGCAGACCACATGGGCTGCGCCCCCAGGGGCGGCTTAGCCCACAAGACGAAGCCTTACGGGGTACGGCGCTGCTCGGCGCGTCCCGCAAGGCACCGGGAAGATATCCTAAAGATACTACGAGATCTGTTAGAATACATATGATCCCATGATTCCTATAATCTGTTATTACTTTTCGGTTATCTCCTAGATCTAACCGACTTATAACTCTGCCTCGGGACTATATAAGGCGGGCAGAGACCCCTCCAAACACACGCAATATCATACGATAGCCAATACAATCCAACAGACCACAGGAGTAGGGTATTACGTCGTGCTGACGACCCGAACATGTCTTACTCGTGTGTCTCTGTTGCCTTCTTGTTCTCGATTACGCGCATCTCTGCTGATCAATCTACCTTCGTGGGATACTCCTCGGAGAACTGCCGACGATATTCTGTCGACAGTTGACGTGCCAGGTAGGGGTGTGCGTGCTGTTTCCATATCGAACAAGATGGTACATTTTGCAGGCTCTCCGTCCCTCCCACAACCCGGCTAGATCTTCACGGTCGGATCGATCTCCTGGATCATCAACGCCGACGAAGTCGGAGAGCTCATCGAGCCGGTGCAGATCGATACTGCGTCGATCACCCCAACACCTGCGACTGCAGATCCGATCTCGGAACCGCCTCCGAGGTCGTCTTCGCCGACAATTCGCCGCCCGCTTCCCCGCTACCCAAGGAGGCAAATCAACAACGATGATCTGATCGCATCTATCGATCAGGTTGGCCAGAGGCTCGCCGATTGCATCTCCATCGCAGAATCGGCTCTGACCACTCTGGTTCAGCGCCGACCACCCTCCGATCCAGATCTATCGGAGGCTGATCGGGAAACTCCAGGGGTTACGGCTCTACCCTTCGGGCTCACTAGCATCGCCGCCGCCTATCAAGATGCTCTAAGGGGCAAATTCGCCAACTAGGTTGGAGATATCCATCCTCTCGCCGACCAGATCACCGACCAGCTCTCGCCGACTATCAACATGCTACACGTCAGCCGACGCCCCGAAGAATCCCTCCAAACCATCCTGCAGGAAAATCCAGACTCTGAGTCCCAGGGCTCTACAGAGACTGTCGCCGAAACCACCGCCGTACAACCTCCTTTCCCTCCCTTCCGTGGAGGCGGAATTTTCAACGTCAGCGTCGATAGCCCCCCACGCGACGAGGAAACCGAGGAGGACCGCGCCGCCCACGTCAACAGGAACGCCAACCGTGCACAGTGCCGAGCAAACGAATCTGCCCTTCTGCTAGCCGAGGCTGCTCGCAACGATCAGCTCGACTCGCAAGGAAGGCCACGCCAACTCCAGCGCAACCTTGACGACGAATTTGTCCGTGTTGATGGCCATGACATCTACAAGACCCCAAGCGCCAACTTGGCCGTGGCCGCCAACGAGCTCGTCCGGCTCCCGCAGACACCGGAGGTCGCCAAGGTTGCCGCCATGCTTAAAGCGGCGCACTGCCAGGTCAACGAGATCCGCTAGGATCAGAGACCCTCCTACTCTACGAGCTCGATTCACCGATCCGCCGTGCCAAGATCTAATCGCCGCCCCAGCCGAAGTCGTTTCATTGACCAGCACCGCGATGATGGACAACCTCTCCAGGGTTGAGCTAGGGGCAACCGCGTCGACCACCCCTGCCAACACGACCAGAAAGTCGACCAGGACGTCCGAGCGCACCTCAACAATCTCCGAGACGCGCGACGACGTATCGACGAGCGTTGTTTTTCTCGCCATGAAGAAGAAGTACGCCGCCGTCAAGAATACGAGCAAGAGTTCGGTAATTCGAACTCAGCCCTCCAGCCACTCAATGTTAGCAACATCGTAGATCATGACGGCGACGATCCCAAAGGGTCTCGAGCATTCACGAGGGCACTCCGAACACTCCAGTGGCCCCATGGTTTCAAAATCACTGGGGTCGAGCCCTACGAGGGACAAATGAACCCCACACAGTGGCTACAAACTTATGCTACTGCTGTGCGCGCCGTCGGGGGAGATACCAGTGTTATGACAAACTATCTTTCCATCATGCTCACAGCAACTGCGATGAACTGGTTCACAAGCCTCGCCTCGGACTCCATCAGATCCTGGGAAGAGCTGAAGAAGGTTTTCACCGACAACTACATGGCTACGTGTACTTGGCTGGGCGCCAAGCATGATCTGAACCGCATCTACCAGAAGCCGTCCGAGCTCTTCTGTAGCTACATTAGACGCTTTTCTGAGATGCGGAATTCTATTCCTAATATCACGGAAGCTGAGGTCATCACCTCCTTCGTCCGAGGACTCCATCACCGCGACCTCTGCTCCAAGTTCAAGCGCAAGCCGCCTAAGGGAATTGGCGAGATGATTACAATCGTCGATCAGTACGCCGACGCCGAAGAAGCCGAAGTACGCTTCAACGAGGATGTGGGCACTCATCGCCCAACTCGCCGCAGTGACGAGCGACCCGACGACCGATGCCACAGCGACCGCTGCTATGACGACCGTAGTCACCATCGGGACAGTGGCCGTGATCAGCCAGAAGGGTCCAAATCTGGTCAATAGCGTCGCCGCTGACCAAACCACATTGTCATCGCCGTTGACGAACCTCGCACCAAGCGCAACTATAACGAGCAGTACAAGAAGATCCTCGAAGGCCCGTGGCCTCTCCACAAAAACAACAAGAATAAGATGAAGGACTGCCTCAGCTTAGCTAAGGAATTCTAGGCTAAAAAGCCGAACGACGATAACAACGACGGAGCCGGAGGCCGCTGACCACCTAGGGGCAACAACAACACCTTCCAAGATCACGACAAAGTGGTCGCCACCATCTTTGGGGGTCATGCCGCCACCGAAAATAGAAGAGATCGGAAGTTCACCACCTGTCGGGTGCTCACCGTCAACGTGGAAGACGCCATCACCAACCCCAGTTATTGCCCCTGGTTTGAGGTCCCTATCACCTTTAGCAGGGCCGACCAGTGGGCGGACATCCCTTATATAGGGCGTTTCCCCCTCATTCTCGATGCAACCATCGGGAAAGTGCTTTTTAGGAAAGTACTCGTCGACGGCGGAAGCGCCCTGAACCTCCTCTTCGCTGGAGCCCTAAATGAGTTGGGCCTTAGGATAGGAGACCTTGCACCCTCTGACTCCTCCTTCTAGGGTGTGGTACCTAGTAGGGCATCCAAATCGCTTGGAGAGATCACCCTCCCAGTACAGTTCGGCACGGCTAGCGACTACCGCGTCGAGAACATCAACTTCTACGTCGCCGACTTCAACACCGCCTACCATGCCATACTTGGTCGGCCGGCTCTGGCCAAGTTTATGGCCGTACCGCACTACGCCTATCTAGTGTTGAAGATGCCTTCACCTATAGGAGTCCTAGCCCTACAGGCCAATCTCTCCATCGCCTATGCCCGCAAGACAGAGAGTCTCGCTCTCGTCGAAGCCACCGACATCTCCATCCAGATGGCCAGCGTGGTCACCGACGCCAAGACGGTGCCCGCCAATGACCTAGAGATCCCAGTGCTGGAGCCTCCGTGTGCCTCCGCCAAGTCAAAGGAAACCAAGGAAGTCGGCCTTGGCCTCGACGACCGCTCCAAGACCATCAAGATTGGGGCTCACCTCGACCCAAATAGGAAAGCGCGCTCATCTCCTTCCTACGTGCCAACACCGATGTGTTTGCTTGGAAACTTGTAGACATGCTGAGGGTACCACGAGAGAAGATCAAGCACTCCTTGAATGTCTCGCCGACCGCCAAACCGATCAAGCAGAAACTTCGACGATTCACGCCAGACAAGAAAGAGGCTATTAGGGTAGAAATAAAATGGCTCCTAGCTGCCAGATTTATTAAAGAAGTGTATCATCCTGAGTGGTTAGCAAACACTGCCCTAAAGACCCCTTCGGTCTACCTCAGATAGACGAGGTTGTAGATTCCACCGCCGGCTGCGAACTACTCTCCTTCCTCGATTATTACTCCGGCTATCACTAGATATCCCTCAAGGAAGACGACCAGATCAAGACGTCATTCATCATGCTTTTTGGTGCGTATTGCTATACCACCATGTCCTTCGAACTCAAGAACACCGGGGTGACCTACCAAAGGGCCATCTAGATGTGCCTCGATCAATAGATAGGCCGCAACATCGAAGCATACATCGACGATGTGCTCTCAGTCGCTTTATATCATGCCTCAGTGAAAAGGGACTACCATTTTTCAAACTCCTCAAGGCCTCCGAGCGCTTCTCCTGGTTGGAGGAGGAAGATACAGCTTTCGAGCAGCTCAAGTTGTTTCTATCAAAGCCTCCAATCATGATGGCTCCTTGACCAGATGAAACCCTACTGATCTACATCGCTACCAGTTCTCACGTCGTTAGCACAACTATCATCATCGAACGCGAGGAGGCCGGGAACGCCTATAAGGTGCAACATCCGGTCTATTTCATCAGCGAGGTCCTTAATGAGCCCAAAACTCGTTATCCTCAAGTTTAGAAACTGCTATACGCTATTCTAATCATGTCATGCAAGCTCTGCCATTACTTCGAGTATTACAAGATCGCCGTGGTCACCGAGTTCCCTCTAGGGGACATCCTCCGCAACAAAGAGGCCAACGGCTGCATCATCAAGTGGGCTGTTGAGCTCGACACTTACTCCATTGAATTCAGAAGCAGACCTACCATCAAGTCACAGGCGCTTGCTGACTTCGTCCCTGAGTGGACCGAGATCCAAGAGCCCATCCCCGTTACTTGCCCCGAGCACTGGGTGATGTACATCGATGGCGCCCTCAACATCAACGAAGCTGGTGCTAGCATTCTGTTCATTACATCGACTAAGGACAAGCTCTGATACATTCTTCGAATACATTTTCCAGCCTCCAACAACGCCGCCGAATATGAAGCGTGTCACCATGGACTCCGTATAGCCGTTAAGCTCGGTGTCAAACGCCTCATGGTATATGGAGACTCCGCGCTGGTCATCAACCAGCTCAACAAAGACTGGTCCTGTTCCAGTGAGAAGATGGATGCATATTGCGCCGAAATCAGGAAACTCGGAGGGAAGTTCTACGGTATCGAGTACCACCACGTGGTACGAGATCAAAATCAGCTCGCCGACCACCTATCTAAGATAGGCTCTTCTCATGCCATGATTCCATTGGGGGTCTTCATTCAAGACCTCTTTACGCCATCTATTAAGGAAGACAAGGAAGTTCAAGAAATTCCCCCCGCCGAGCAGTTGGTACTTACAGTACCTTCGCCGGCCACCGACTGGAGGGAATAGTTCATCAAGTACCTCACCAGCGCCGACGTACCCGCCAACAAGACTAAAACTGAACGCCTAATCCATCGAAGCAAGCATTATGTGCTGGTAGACGGGAACTTGATGAGAAAAAGTGCCAAGGAAGGGATACTGCAGAAATACATCGCCCAAGAAGAGGGAGTGAAACTACTTCTCGAAATTCACTCTGGTTCCTGCGACAACCACGTGGTCTTGAGAAACCTGGTTGGCAAAGCTTTTCGAGCTGATTTTTACTGGCCCACGGCTATCACCGACGCAGAAGACCTCATCCGACGTTTCGAAGGATGCCAATTTTTTCCCAAGCAAATACACGTGCCGGCACAAGAACTGCAGACCATCCCAGCTTCCTGGCCTTTTGCATGCTGGGGACTAGACATGATCGGGCCTTTCAAGCCAGCGCTATGTGGTTTCCGCTACGTGTACATCGCCATTGACAAGTTCTCCAAGTGGATCGAATACAAACCGCTTGTTTCGGCTACTGCTAAAAAGGCAGTCGAGCTCTTTGAAGATATCATCTATAGATTCAGTCTCCCGAACAGCATTATCACCGACCTCGGAACTACAGTCACTGGTCATCATTTTTGGGACTTCTGCGAAGACCGATGCATCTCTGTTAAATATGTCTCAGTTGCCCATCCTAGAGCCAACGGCCAGATCGAATGGGCGAACGGCATGATCCTTGATGCCCTCAAAAAGAGGCTATATCAGAAAGAGAAAAATCATCCGGGCAGATGGCTCAAAGAGCTACCAGCTGTGGTCGGGGGACTATGCACTCAAGCTAGTCGCAGCATCCTGTGTCTCTATATTTCTTGGTCTATGGCTCATAAGCCATACTACCAGCGGACATTGCCTTCCGAGCACCTAGGGTGGAACATTATAATGAAGAGCAAGCCATAGCTGTTCGGACAGAGGACGTCGATAGGGCTGAAGAAGAACGCCTGATCACTTGCATCCACACAGCCAGATACCTGGAAGGCTTGCAAAGATACTACAACCGCAACATCAAAGGTCGTTCATTTGCTGTCGGCGACCTTGTTCTCCGTAGAAAACAGAAAACTGAAGGGATGCACAAGCTCTCCTCCCCCTAGGAAGGGCCCAACGTGGTCAAAGAGGTTACCCGACCAGGGTCTTACCAGTTATGTGACTTGGACGAAATCGATATTCCCAATTCATGACACATTGAGCACCTTATACGTTTCTATCATTGAAACGCTCCAGATATGTACTCTTCACTCCATATTGAATGAAGTTTTTGTCGCTATAATTTGTCTCCATTATATCTCCATTACGATTTAATCTCCATTTGCGGTCGCCAGCTCTAAGCTAATACTTAACAAACTCCAATACGTGATTTCCATAAATGCTCCGCCACGTTTCTCCATATCTCCAAGATATTTTGCCAACAGCCGAGCAACACACATTCTGCTCTATGCTCTTTAGAGAACACCCAGTCTTCGATCTCTCTCTAAATGTGCTACGGGCTCCACGCTCTACGTTATGGGTGGTCGGCTACGGTTCCTTGGTCACGCATGTTCCTCCTACACGTGCACGGGCTCCGCGCTCGACTTTATGGAATACGGGCTAGCCAAGACCAGGATCCCAGTAAAGAACTAACTGCTCGAATGCTACTTATACTATATATAATCGCATTAGGGTTAACACTACAATGATTTTTCAACGAAATACTGGCAAACTGCATAAACATGCACATGTCACTTTACAACATTTATACATATACATAAATGGTTGTCTGCGCCCTCGCGCGTTTCAACTATCCTCTCCAGCTGTTACAGATCACTCTCCGAGCAGGTCATTATGTTTGGCTCTCTCCGTCCACCTTGCCGAACAGGTCGATGTCTCCGGCCAGCCTCTTCGCCGCGTCCTCCACCTCATGTTCCAGCTCCTGCTGCTTCGTCACACCAGTGCCTCTAGCAAATCCGGCCCCTATCGCTCGCAGATCGATAGTAGGGTAATGGGACCGGATTACTGCTAGAGCATGGGTCACGACAGAGACAGTGTCATCGCGGTTGAAGCTCTTGAAGTTCTCCCATGCCGCCTTGCACCTGACGATGATGGTGTCCGGACGAGGCGGCCTATCGTCGGGCTGAGGAGCTGCCTCCATGTCAATGCAATCAAGCATCGGCCTGACTCTGGCCACCACGGCGTTGAGCTTTCACCTTTGGGTCTATGCCTCCTGCTCTAGCATGTCAAACTGGGCTTTGGTCTTTCGATAGTATTCTGCAGGCACCAAAAGGATCTGTCAAATGAAGAAGTCACTTCAGCAATAACTCCGACCATGAAGTACTCACCTTTCAGCTCGTCGACCAGCTTCTCCGCTCACCCAGATGCTTTCTTCTCCTCCTCCTAGAGTTGACCGACGACTTGGCGCAACTAACCGAGCTCCGCATCTTGCTTTACAAGCATAACGGTCGTCAGCATCAATAAGATTGTTCAACAATGCAGAGTAAAATTCGTCGATCTGCCATACCTTTTCTCTGCTCGGAGACATTTTTTAGCTGCTTGGATTTGTGCTCCAGCTGCTCGGATAGACTCGTTAGCTGCTCGAAGTTGCGTTCTAGCTGCTCGGAGCCGCTCCACAACTGCTCAGATACCGTCATCAGCTGCTCGAATAGGACGCCCTTCTGGTATTCCAGATCCCACGCGTTGGATTCGGCAAGATCACGCTCGCGCTGGGCCTTCTGGATGTTTTTCTCCATAAGCTTCACCGCCTCCTTTAGTTTTTCATTCTTCTCGACGAGGGGCTCCATCTCTTGATCAGCTATCGTCGTTGTTCGGTAGTTCATGCTATGCCCTACAAAAGCAACAAGATTATGAAGAACTCCAGTCTTCGATGACACAAACAGACATTGTCGACACAATACTAACCTTGATTTGCTTCATCGCCGTGGAAAGGGTGGACTCTAGTCTTCTAACTTCCCTGGTGGTGTCGTCTTCTTCCACCACCACAACTTTGTCGCCCCGCTTGCACGTCAGCAGCTGCTGCTAGCGGCTGCGACATCAAGGCGCACTTCGTGTTCATCCCGCTGATGTTTGAGGGGCACCTGATCTCGGTGGTCGACACCGCGCTGCTGCTAGCCATGCACGGCACTCTTGCCAGCGTCGTCGTCACCCTGTCCAACACCGGGCAGCGTCTGGCCTGGCGGTCCTGGTCGTGGAGCTCCCGTTCGACCTGGCAGCGGAAGGGCTGCCCGACAGCGCCGACGACGTCGACAAGGTGCCGTCGGGTCTCTGGACCAACTACTTCCATGCCCTGGCGCGCCTCCGGGAGCCACTAGAGCGGCACCTCCGCATGCATGTGCTGTACCCGATGTGCGTCATGGTGAACTTCTGCCACCCATGGGCTAGGGAGCTCGCGGCGAGCCTCGAGGTCCCACGGCTCTCTTTCTTCACAGCATGTGCGCGTTCTGCCTCCTCTGCCAGCACAACATCGAGAGGTTCAACGCATACGATGGCGTGGCCAATGACCACGAGCTAGTCGTCGTGCCCGGTCTGGAGAAAAGGATCGAGGTGTCGAGGGCTCAGGCTTTCTGGCTCTTCTGGGAGATCCCCGAGTTCAAGAAGTTCGCAGACGATGTCGAGCAAGTTTTTGGCCAAGGCTGACGGCATCGTCACCAACAGCCACTGGTAGAGAACAGAACTTTACTCCCGGTGGGGAACCCCCTCTAGTCCTGGTTCCCCACCCAGGAGCAAGCATCCGGGACTAAAGGGGGGTCCTTTAGTCCCGGGTCAGGAACCGGGACTAAAGGAGGACCTTTAGTCCCGGTGGGTAACACCAACCGGGACTAAAGGTGCCTCCTGACATGCCACGATGGCCGGCACCTTTAGTCCCGGTTGGTAATACGAACCGGGACTAATGTTTTTTTTTTCTTTTTTCTTTTCTTTTCATTTTTTTGTTTTCTTTTCAAAATAGGTTTTCGAAGTCGTATTGTACGCTGCTAATTATACATTTATACGCGCGTATAGTATGTTTCGGTTCAAGCACAATGAACGTATTAAATCACACAATTCAAGCATAGAAATATATATATATATATATATATATATATATGCATCATATATATATTTACATGCATGCATGCATATGTGTATTTTACATTATATTATTTCATGTGCATATATTACAAAAGATTGCATTACAGTTGTTGTGATATAACAAGTTTCCTCTCATCCTCTAGCTTGGCTTCCATGGCAGTGTTGGGTCGAAGTAGAACTCGCCCTTGGAATCGATGACCTGCTCATTAAAAAATCCGGCTATAGACTCTTGAATTGCTTTGATTTGGTCTTGCCGTATGACCTTTTCCTCCAACCATCGAGCCTATAGGTTTGAATTAAAGGAAAATAAATTAATATATGTACATATATATATAAAGACATAGTAACACAATCAATAATAATAATTAAATGAATATATAGTGTATTTTTAACGTACTTTGAGTCTCTCTGTAGGAGTTCTTTGGGAGACCACTTTGATAAACTTGCAAACATAGTAACCACAGTAGTTGTTCCCCTGTTCCTGCCTCAGACACCACTTTACGAGAAAAAGATTTGTCATCCAATCTGGTGATCCGGTGAAAGTTATATGTTTAATTAATAAAGATGATGCGATTTAGGGACTTACTTTCAAAGGGATTACATTCAGTGGCGCTTTGCATTTTCCCATGTGTTGCTTCTCAATAAAGGTTTTCCAAACACTGCCCAATAAAAAATTTGCCACGTCATCAGATATAGTTAATCATCATGTTTGTGTGTATATATAGTTGCTAGAGATACTGAAATTACCTCTGGATAATATCTATCATATCTTGGTAGTCTTGTTGTGGTTTTCTCATCGAGTCATAGATTATCAAGTGACTTTTCACCAGATCGATGTCCATCAATATCCAGTGATTGCTGCATGTGTTTATAGGATATAAGGCATAACACTCATTAATTAACTAGAATCAACATATGAGCCATTAAGGATGATCGACATTATTAACACTCACTTGAAGTTGTAGGGAAAGAGTATATCCTTCTTGTGGCGTTGGTTCACTAAGAAGTTCATGAGGTTACTCTCTGACTCAGACTTCCAATTAGTCTTTAGAGTAACTGGGTCTTTGAATACTATATGGGGATCAACAAAACCAATTTCATTGCAGCCTACCTTTCTGAGCTCTATCATTATAAATCTGCATATATATAGTACTTGTTAGGATAATTTATATGCATATACACACATATGATGAGTTTAATAATAGATCGAAAGAATTATTACTTACAGGCAATAGCAGCTAATGATAACTTTATCCAGAGAGGTCAGGTGGCATAGTTGTTGAAATTATACAAAGTCAACATACATAACATCATCGCCACGGAACCAATGTTCGTCTTTAATTCTGACACCAACACAGAAGTCTCCACCGGTAGACGTCTGCATGTACCACTTGTTTAGCAGGTATATTTGCGTCCCCAGATCAGATAAGGCTTGAGGGTTGTATAGACTCTGGCCTAGTACAAATCTTTTTTTCCAAATATCAACCTCCGCCGCACTCTCAATGTTTCCATCACCAAACATCTGGTAAAGGTCGAGACCAATCTCATCAATAAATTCACCAAGGTGATCAAATCGACATCCGGAGGTATGTTTGCGTGATGCATTAATCCTAAATTCGAACCATATTCATTACCAATAACTAGCGGGGGGACTAATTGGTTCGATTGTTGTCCGAGTTGGGCAACTCCTTTTCCTGCCCGCTTCTTTTTCTGTGCCGCCTCAATTGACTTGGTGAGAGTGCGGTCATAGTCTGTTAACGTTGATTTGGACGGCTTACGAGATTCCCGCTGTTGTTGTTGGTAAGAAGCCACCTTTTTTCTTAGAATATCTGGAGCTACGAAGAAGTATGGTTTCTCCGGGTTTCTCCTTGCTTCTTGATTCTTTTTAAGTTTATCATAGAATCTGGACATATCTTTTTTATATGCATCAGTTCCTTCTTCCTTCTCTTCAGATATTATTTTGGGAATAGCCCTTGGTTTCATGGTGGCTTTCTTTGCCAACGGGGACTGGTTCTTCGTTTGCGGGGCTGGCCTCTTGCTAGCACTTGGCTTCTTGGTAGGCGGGGGCGCGGGAGGCGTTGGAGATCTCCTTGGAGGTGGTGGCAGCGGCGTTGGAGACCTCCTTGGAGGTGGCGGCTGTGGCATTGGAGACCTCCTTGGAGATGGTGTGGATGTAGCCTCGCCTTCCAACACAATGTCATCGTACAGAGCACTATGATGATCTGGCGATTGAACAATTGGATTTAGGTTGGGGGAGGATCTGCTACAAAAAAAGGAATGACATATTATTATGAGCAGATTGTTAATTATTTAAGCCAATATAAATTAATGTAGTGTTTTCATCCGCACCTATGGTGAGGTAGTTCAGGAGGAGGTGGAGCCGACATCCCGGGAATGATGATGTAGCGCTTGCGCCATAGAATGAATGTCTTCTCTCGCTTCTCCTAGAGTCTTCTCGCCATCACCTCCGGGGAATGTCAAGAGGCAAATCACTAAAACCTTTTTCAAACTTTATCTACCGAGATGGTAGCATATCCTTCTTGGATTATATTCCCATGAATCCTTGGTGTCTTGGTTCGGTCGATAGGATTAACAAGACCGATAGCCACCTTGATTGTGGAATTCCCCTTGAATGTGTAGCTCACACGATGTATAAGGTTCAAAGGCGTCATCCACGTGGAAGCGCAATCCTGTGTCCCCTTGATTTGGTATCTCTATGGAAGCGCAAATGCTGCTTTTCAACCCAATGTTGGCTAATGTTGATTCCTCGGCTCGATGCTCGCTTGCTTGCACTCACCGCTATTTACACTTGCCTTCGATTTCCTCCTGCATTCTCGCTTCAAGGTTTTTTCCCGCTCTCTGCTTCACGCACCGCTTTCTCCAACCTCTGGAGCCAGCTGTGCCTCTTCTTCCTTCTTTCTCTGGTGGCTTCAGAGGAAGGTCATCCCTAAGGGAATCCATGCTCCCACGAGACACTTCCTTTGCCTCTAGTTCGGTCACCATGTTCAATAGTCCCGATGGCGTATGTCGGCTCATCCTTCTCTCTGTTGGGCTGGCAACGCACCACTAGCGAGAGCTCTCTGAGCATAAAACAATCTTTCTCTTTCGCTTCTTGCGCCTTGCACCATAAACGCACTTCCCTATCTCCTGGTCCAAAGTTCCCCATGAGCGAAAAACCAATTCTTTGCACGCTCTCCCCACTCGAGTGATTCGTGTGTGATACCCTTGGTAAGAAGGTCCGCTTCCATTTTGTTCCACTTCTTAATGGCGGTCGGTAGCCACCGATCCTAAGTTATGGTGGTATGTCTTCATTTGGGCATTACGTTGGTTCTTTATCACCCGACTTACACCCTCTTCCGACGCGTCTTGTACTTGTACAAACTCATCCCAATAGGGCCTCTGCTTTGAGATCGGGCCGGGGCGGAAAATCTGGTGCTATGTTCTTCTTGACATACGTCGTGTATAGGTGTTTCTTCCAAGTCCGAAACTAGGTGGCCATCTTCTTCATTGCCCAATCCCTAACTCGCTCCTTCAATTCATCACCATCTATTATATCATCATAACCATCTGTTTGGAGCGTGAAATGTACCAAGACATGTTTCCAAATTAACGTCTTGTCACGATCGGAGACAAAACTGATATGAGGAGCATTGGTCTTCTTCTTCCATTCATGGTACTTGATCAGAGCCGGTCTCGCACAAGGTAACCACAAGGTGGTGCATGAATTTCATTTTATTTGGCCCCCTTTCACTTTGTATCCACATTGAACTCGAGATGATGAAGCGGCCCTCCAATGGCTTTTTGGGACCTTGAACATTTTTACTCTTCATTGTAGTTGTTGATGTCGATTCAGAGGGCTACAAAATATAAACATTATTTTTAATGTCATGAGCACACATAAGACATGATAATATATATAGCTAATAATAAAAATATATATACTTGGCCAATATGTTGTTGCTCATTTTGTTCAAGAGCTAAGGCATCTTGACTCTTCCGTAAATGCATCCTCTTGCACATTATTTTTAGCACCATCATCGCCGGCAAGAACTTGAGTGCCGTGTTGATCAAATTCATCATCAACTCCTTCTCATCCATGTTTCTCGTGTCACCATCTAGCTTCAAAAATAAAACCAATATATAGTACGTCAAATCTTTACTTACATGCGTAAAATCTACTTAACAATATGCATTATTAAATCTTGCCACTTTCATCACGGGACGCAATTCTAGGGTGGCGGTGCTCACGTCAGATAAACCCTAAACCCTAAACGAGTAGGTTTTGATGGGTGAAGGTTGGTTTGTATGATAAGAAGAATCGAAGCGAGTAGGTTTTGGCGGCGGTCCGCTTAAAACAAAAGGGGGCGTCGCTACGCATTAGGTTTTATTAAATGTAAAATAGCGAGCCTCGCTTTGAAAGAAAGGGGCATCGTTGTGCGCCAAGTTTCGAGAACAATAAACGATGAGCCTCGCCTAAAAAGAAAAGGGGCGTTCTTTGCAAACCAAAGTGACAACAAAATCGCACTGCATCCTGACTCGTCGAGTAAACAGCTCCAAATAATGTTTAC